CTGGATGATCTGCCACTGGGACCAAGAACTGTTTTCTTTAACAGTGTTGGAGGAGCGGACTTTCTTGTCTTTCGCTCTTGCCCAGGTTTCGTCTTCATTGGTGTTGTATCTGAAGCAGGTGAATCACTGTGTGTGGCACCTGAAAATAGAAGCAGAGTTCAATTATTCATTTGTCTCTATTGTTAGCAGAAATGATAACCTGCTTGACCTCTCACAGAAAGTTATTTAAACTTGGAGAAATGTTTGGATTTTTATTATAATTTCATAATTGATGCTTCCAGGTTTTATGAAGTCCAAGTGGCAGGGATGTTCCTGTAACCAGCTGTCAACCACTCTCTTTTTCCCCACAATTCTCAACACTACTGTGAACAACACCATGAATGTCTTGCAGGAGAGATTGTCTGAAAGTGCACTCCACCTCTTCGTCATGGCTAGTATTTTCCTGCAGTTCATTTCAGTTCTTAAATTAGGAATAATTATAGGTACTTTTCATTTTTTGACTTTTTTAAAAAAGTTTACCAACTGTTAGAAGCTCAAGAAGCTACAGCCTTACACCTCTAAGCCCCTTCCAGACTTCCTGTAGACATTTATGCTGCCTTTTCGACGTTTAGATTATGACAGACTACCTGTATCAATATTTTGAAGGAGTCTGATTGCAGATGTAGTTCCAGCAGTGTCGGTCTCTTCTGGACTACTGCTCGTATCGCCATCTCCTGCTTCTCCATCTGCGAATTTAGTTTTATCTGCAAACATCAATTTATAAAAAGTCTTACAAAAAGTTCTTTAGTTAAACTGTTACAGACAGTTGCGAACCATTATTTAAAAGAAAACACATTAAAGTAAATGAGGTCATAGTTACTGCAGTCAAAGAGGTCAAAGAGAGCCTGAAAAGCTGGGTCGGACTCAGTTTGCTCCAAAATGTCATGGATGGCGTCGTCACTCATATGAATTTCCCCCTGTATACGTGAGTAAATAATAATAAATTACATAGAAAAAGTGAAAACACTACAAGCAAAATGTTAAGAAAAAAAAAAAATCACCTGTAATCCTAGTATTTCATCTATAGACTGGTCTGTTTCCACTGTACTTGAAGAACCCTTTGATGTTTGGGGCATTGGCTCACTGATAGTAGTGATGAAACAGAGTAGGAAACAGTACAATCATTATCAAAAACTGTGCACAATACATCCAAGTGCAAACAAAATGAAGTCCTATCGCGTTACTTACTTTGCAAGGATTTTGTTGATGTTTTCAGCAAGTTTCTCTTGTAATGACCTGTCACCCAGTATCTTGTCACGTGCGTTTTGTATCACAAGCTGCTGTAAAGAGTGAGATGAAACAGAGAGCATGTCATTTCTGATGCAATAAAGTAATTTTTCTTTGTATCTAGAGACACAGAGTGACATATGACCATTCAGCAGATCAACAAGGTTTTAAACAACTATGTCAGTGGATTTGTTAATATGTGACTGAAGTGTAGTCTTTGTCTGTGAAGGTTCTCAGTCATCCAGGTCATCGTAGTCAAAGGAGCTTGCAAAGAAAAGCGTCTGGACTTCTTTAAGTTACTTTAAGACGTTTC